GTGTATTGTGTTGACAATACTCTTTCCTTAAACTCTTTCACAGTGAAAAGAAAAAAGAGAATATCTGGCTTCAGAACAACACCTACTACCCAAAAAAACATCACAGGATGTCTGCCTGGAAATGCTGTACAAGGCTTCTTTGTATGGCTTTTCGGCTTGGACCTCATCTATTTTTATAATGCAATAGCCAAGTTCTGACTTTAGACACTTACTCCAGCGACTGGACTGGATATTGAAGGTATTTGAGCACCTGGAGCCTTTTGAATTTTGTCTCATTAGGGTGGCCTCAAAATGTGTTCTCATTAAAAAATGTGTCACTTTACAAAACAGAACATTTAACTTCAAAAGAAGCCATTTTCTATGAGCTCTGTATTGATGAAAAAGCAAGCACACTTAGGTTCTACCTTTACCTAATTCTTTGACAAATGACATTTTTCTTCTTAAACAGCAAAATGATATCTCCTTCTTAAGAACCCTGATGCATCCATCTGACCTCGCTGAGTTTTATCAAATACAATTTAAAAGAAATGCAGAAAAGTGAAGGATATCCTATCTAGTGTCTGCACTAAATCAACTACACTTCAAACAAAAGTAAAATGTTTTCTAAAACTCATATTTTAGACCTAGCTTTAAAATTTTCCCCAGTAGTTGTACTTCTCATTCACGATTTTCATCAATAAATAAACAACGTACATTGCCTCAAGAAAAGAAAAGGAAAAAGAAGAGAGAGAGAGAGGATAGGGAAAAGGAAAGTCGAGGAGAACGAAACGTACGTGGTGGGGAGAGGAATCCATAATTCAGTTTAGCGTTATTTTTATAAAATGAACATTTATGGACGGGACTAAGAGGGATTCGAAGATCCTGGTAAAGGCAGTTGGAAAAGTCTTCTGCAGAGAAACTGTCCTGAAGAACAAAATGAAGAGAACCATTAGGTATCAGGTATATAGAAGAAACGATTGCTTTGTAAATAGTTAAAGGTGAGCTACATCATAAAATTATGGAGCTCTAGCTGTCTGTTCATGTCTGTCACCCTTTTTCCATTTTTTTCTTAGTGTATTCATCTTTTTTCTAACTGAAGTGTAAAAGTCTTTACACTATGAAGGATATTAATCATTTGTCATATGCATGCAAATATTTTCCTACCATGTTGCATTAATTTTATTTATAATTCATTTTTTACTCAATTTCTATCTTTTATATAGGGAATTGCTAATTTTTAGGGATCTGGGGCTATCTTCCATACTCAACTACACAGCCAAAAGTTGAGGGGGGGAGGGAGGGAGAAGATGGAAAAATGCCACTGAATAGCAATGTAATATGAAAATCTCAGGAGTAGTGATGATTCTGAATTTTTTCAGTTTTGATTACATATGAAAACTGAAAATTCCAACAATCAAAACACCATAATTGAAGTATTAAACAACAATGAATAGGATCAGACCTA